TGTTCTAATTAGGCGACTATCTTCGTAACGAGTTTTCTGAAACAAGGCAGGATCACGATAAACCATAGTTATACTTAATTGGAAGTTTCCTGGAAGCGATTCGAATAACGTGTAATTAAAAAAACCTCCAGGAGATGTAATGATAAGTCTCTAGAAATATTAAGTTAGAGCATCCGCGTGGGATAAAGAGAAGGAGTGTCCGTGCGGGAAACATTGTTGCTTAGGAGGGCGGAGAAACAGTTTGTTTCTTGGAATTCACGGTTGCGCGAACAGAGAGCGAAGAACGGGATAATGAAAGCCCGATAAAACCCGATCTAATTTCTATTGTTTGCTCGAAACGGTTCCACGTTTCGTATCGAGACCGATCCTCTTTTTCTATCGGAATAAAACGGCTGAAAAACGCAACGCCTCCCGTTTCTCCGACGAGAGAAATTTCAATCTCACGGCGAGAGAGTCACCGTAATTGCTTTTACTCTCGCGTTTAACACGTTGCCCCGTCTATGCCGAGAAGCGAAAATCCAAGAAGAGAAAACATTCTAATTTCGCGTACACGTTTTGGTCCATTTTTCCGGCACGCGGTCCCGCAAAGAGCCCCGCGGTAATTTCCCGCTTTAGCCGCCTCCTCTACCGAACTTGTCAAAAGAGTGATAACACGTGGGGATGCTCCTGCCGCGGTAAAAAATAAAGAAACCGACCTTCAGCATTAATTAAGTTCAAGTGCCCGCGGGCGGAACTGTAAATTTTTAGCGTCTAAATTAAGGAACGACTTGCAACCGACACTCCGTGGACGAAAAATAAAAAAAAACGTGACACCGAACACGGATTTAGCGTTAGAAAAAGGAACCGTCCGATTTTCAAAATTCCACGACCCGAGAAGCTTTCGCGGTCTGAAAGGGAACCTCGAGAGGATCACGCGCGTCGAGAATACGTTCTCGGGAGATCGTGTAAAAAATAACTGGATCGCAAAACGTTCGAAATTCGTCGCGTTATGTCGCCGGAGGTGAAACGTTTCCTCGACGACAGTTTATCCGGTTTCATTTTAGGGCTTTTGATCTTCTTCGCGTCGGATCTGGCGGACAGCAGGAGTAAAAGTAGACTGGCCACAGGATTTAATGAGGAATCCGCTTTGCGCACTTTTACCAGGGTAATTGGCACTTCGCCCCGCGTTAATTGACAGATTCATTCTGGGCCCTTTATCGCGATTATGAGAAATTGACTGTAGAAAACGGGGTTACAGTTAATGCCTGGCCATTTGCCGCGCGCTCGTTCCCGATAACCCCATTAAAATCACAGTCAAACTTTCGAATCGAGTTCCCCGGGTCCGTTTCAATCGTTTCCAAAGATGTAACACGAACTTTTACGCTTCCTTCGACATTGTTACCCGAACATTCGTGTTTTAAGACCGGTAAACATTTTGTATACAAGAGTATAGTGTTCCACGGACTGGTCGTTTGATACGAATCCACGCGCGATATCCGCGTATCGTATCACCCGTTCCGTATCATCATGGACAAACGTTGCATCGTGGAAATATCTGAAATACATACATTAAAATAGAACGTGTTTCTGAATTCTCCATAAACACCAGGGCAACTGGAAGCTTCCCTAGAGGGGCTGAGTCAACCGAATCCCCGGTATCGTTGTTGCTTTGAACAAAGGATTTTCGTACAAACAATATTTACGTGTGCAATAGTAGAAGGATCACGAGAATGCTCGAGCCTCGAGAATCGACGGTGAACGATGAAAATTTATGAATTCCTCCTTAAAGCCGGTCTGCGTCTCTCGAGATAGCACGGCTCGTTTCGTAATTGGATTAAACCAATGAATCATGGTCGTTAAACTGTTTACACCGCGGATCACCTGTTCTTCTACATTCCTTCGTTCCTGTCCGAGGTATTTTCTCGCTGTAGGTAAACATTGAGCCTGATCCCTAACTGTTATGGCACGCACCGACATTCGTTTCACCGATAATATTTATTCATCGACGCCGAGTTCCGTCGACGATCGTTTCGCCAACAATTTCCACCTTTCACAGTTTTAATTTGTTCTAGCATGTATAACGAATGGTATTTTTATTCAACTGTTGGTGTACATACGCGAATGTGTCGAATAAAAATATCAAATTCATACTGCAACGCCGGTCGATATCTATAAATAAATAAAAATAAATTCTGGCAATTCAATTTATTGATTTCATATTATATTCTTTATTGCAATATTTATAATCTTTGATTTAAAAATTTTTAAAGTTGTCCCTTGTTTCACAGTAGTATTAAATATTTGTCGAATCACAGCGAATATTCGTTCGAGGCTGGAATTTTCGTTTCGTAAACCAATATAATCGCGAAACGAAGGACGCCTGGTCGATCGAGCATCGTAGATAAACAAGGACGGTTCCATAGCGACAACGTTCGATAGTAGGTTGTCTTTGTCTCGTAAATTCCAAGGACCAACCTTGTAAACAAAGTCCAGGCAGCTGTTGCTAAGACTGATAACACGACCATCGCTCAGTGTTCAAGGAGACGTTGTAAATAACGTTTAGGCATCGTATTCAACGCAATCGTAATATATTTAATTTTATTTTATTCGATATACGACGCAGGATGACGATCTATCGTGTGTGCTCTTAAATAATTCGTCGCGATTCTTTAAAACAAATCAAACTTTACTACAAGTTCTAACAATGGTCTCTTTGGAGTGTGTTTGTTTTCTGTTGGTAATGTACAAAGTGATAGAAGCTGTCGATATTGATAGTAGGAGGATTAAATTGTATAATTAGTGATAGAATAAAATCCTGTGTGCTTTTAAATAATTCGTCGCAACGCTTTAACACAAATTAAACTTTGTTGCAGGTTCTAACAATGGCCTGTTTGGAGTGTCTCTGTTTTCTGTTGGTAATGTACAAAGTGATAGAAGCTGTCGATATTGATAGTAGGAGGATTAAATTGTATAATTAGCGATAGAATAAAATCGTGTGTGCTTTTAAATAATTCGTCGCAACGCTTTAACACAAATTAAACTTTGTTGCAGGTTCTAACAATGGCCTGTTTGGAGTGTCTTTTCTGTTGGTAATGTACAGATACAAGGAGGATTAAATAGTGTAATTAGTGATAGAATAAACGAGAGCTCGATAGAATAGGATGAAAATTAAATTTCGTTTTTCTGCCGTTTCATCTTTGTTTTAGTTCGTCGAGGAAGTTCGTTGGATCGTCATTGGCCGAACGATGTTTTGCGATGAAGGATGGACGAACGGATGCGACGTCATCGGGGCTCACACAGTGATCTATGGTAACTGATAATGAAAGCACGGAAGGCGAGATACCGCGTTGCAAGCTCACCCGCATAAGCTATAGTTTCCGCGGGAGACCCGTCACATGGCACCCCAGCTTCCTTCTCTGCTTCAGCTTTGAAATTATACCCTCGCAATACAAGGATCTCGCTGATAAAAGCTTGAATTATGAATATCGGTTAATTCACTGCACAGGATACGCCTTCGTGTCGAATGTCTGTTCATTTGTTCGCGTGTCCTCTTGTTCAGTGTACCGTGACAACGCCTGAGTTTAACACATTACCGGCCGATAGCGTATTAATCGACTTTTTTACCGACCAACGCTTACCGACCGATAGCCGATTAATCAACCGCTACCGGTCGGTAAAGTGTTAATAATTCCTAGGTTATCTTCTAGTTAGGGAACAATATTGTAACGAACAGCGTTTAAATAATAGGGAGAATAAAAAAGTTTGACAAGGTGGTATTCATAGTGCGCGTTGAAGGTGAACGGGGAAATTTAATGCAGCATCTCGTATGCGCAGTGACGTGTGAAAGCCGCGGGGCAATTTGTTCCTCATTAAAGCGTCACCGTATTCTTCCGGTTCCTGGTGCCGCGACGGAAGTCCGCGGAAGATTTCGCATTAACCCGGAAACTTGGCGCAACTTTCTTATGACCCGATGGGCTCCCAGAGCCTGAAAACTCATCTGAAACTCGGATTAGGGTATAATGTTGAAAACAAAGAGAGAAAAAAAAAGAAGAATAAACCGGAAAGCGCGAGTGGAAGGGACCGGACACGTTCGTCGCGAAAGTTGAAATTTCAAATGCGGCGAAACACGTCGGTGGGGGGAAAGGGGGAATCGTCGTCGGGGAGCAGAAGCAAAGTTTGTTAAACAACGAAGAAAGTAGAAGTAAAAAAAAAAAATGAAGGAACCGTCTGGATGGAGGCCGAAAGCGGACGAACGAAACGAAAACGAACAGCGGGTTACGGAAACAGAGTTGCGAGCGGAGCTTTAAATCCCGGAGAAACGAACCAGGAAAAGCGCAGCGCGCAAAAAAAAACGCGCCGGGAAAAGTAAAGAAAAGGAAAGTTGACAGAAATGAAGAACGAGAGACGATAGAAGGCTACCGGGAATCGATCGCGGCGTTCGAAATAAAACCGAAAGGAACGAAACAGATTTTTCGCGGTTAATAAAACCAACGCTACCTTTACTAGGATTTATAATCCCATATTTATAAGTTACACGACTCGTATATTTGGTTAAAAGTAAACGAATGAAAGTCTCTGTGGTTAAAGAAAAAACAAAGGGGGACATCGAACGATATTTAAGTGCTCCGCATCACGTTGGCGTTAATAATTACGGGAAATCGACCAAGTTCTCGCGGAAATCCCAACGGACGTAATAATACTCGGCCATCGTAATAATCGTAGTTCGCGGACGGTTTTATGCGAACGCCAGCCTGTTCGCGCGGAGTTTGCGCCAGCGGGTCCATAGCGTTTCCTAGGAAGACCGTATCATCGAATTCGACAGGGTTTTCTTCGCTCCTGGAGTCGGCTCCGCGAGGAGTGAAATTGAAATTTCGCCTCAATTTCCGTACATCCGATCCTCGGCAGAGTCACTTTGAATTCTTCGATGTTTCGCGACCACGATAATTCGTTATTTCGCGGCAGAGTAATTCCCAACGAAATTTATTTCAGTTTCGAAGACGAATAGACTCACCTTAGTATTGTCATCTGGAGAACACGTAACTCATCGTTAAGTGAATTAGCCACAGGTTCAGAAACGCCCTTGAGACTCCGTTCCCGTCGTGCACCGCGGCCGGCAGTTCCCCTGAAACCACGGAGAAGAAGGAAATAAATGAAACGAAATTCCCACCGAAAGTCATCGAAAGTCGACACCATATATTAGTAAAAAATACGGGAATTTTTATACCTCCACCTTGGAAATAGAAACTTCCTTCCTAATCATTGTTCCCCGATCCCCATAGACGTTTCTACGCGAGATCTTGGCGCGGTTCGGTAAATCACGCAGCCGAATATGTTTTATTTCGCTTGCGTGGCCGGCGACAGACTTGTAAACGGTGCCCGTGCCGGCGACAAGAACACATTTGTCATTTCATTAATGGTTGTTCCATCTATAGGTTTTCTGTCAAGCGCAGCCCGCCGCAGCCCGCCGCAGCTTGATGTATTTTGGCGGCGTCCGTTTAATCGCTCTTCGACCGAGTTACGTTTCCTAGATAATAGTTGGAGGCTCGGAGCTTTCATGAAATTAGGCAGTCCTTATTAATGGCTCTTGCGCCACGAGCGGCCTATCCGCTCTCTCCTCTTGTTCGTTCGTTCGTTCAACCAGAAGCGCATCGACTTAAGCCTCGTCGCGCGGGTTAACCGTGGCCCCCCAAAACTTTCCACCAACGTTTCCATCCGTTTCCTTCCTTTCCGGGACGCTCGTGATGCTGACTTGCCGCTTCGGACAGATTACAGACCCGCGACAGCCTTCTCGCGTGTAATTTGCACGCCGATTCTTTTCTTCGTTCCAACCTAAATTAAGGGCCTTCTTATTCGCTAAAAAATTCCAACACAGATTGAAACGCAACTTGATCACCGGCGTTCGAGATTCGAGAGATTCTCGGGGGTGGAAAAATAGGAGCCGTGATTATCGACCGTCCGATTCCTCCCGGAGGATCGACGGCAAGTCTCTTCCGGTACGTCGCGAGTCTCTGATAGAAAACGTGCTTCCGGCCGGTGTCCAGGATCGCTCGAGAATTTGTCTCTCTCGATTCCCCTTTCCGGGACCAGCGAGCTATCCTCGTCCTTTCGGTTTCTTCTTGGAATTTTTCAATTCGTCCCTCCCGCGACTTCTCGCCGGATACCTTTACGCGTCTACTCGGTTTCCTTCTCTTTCCCGAATTTTTCCTTCCGGCGTTTCATCGGCTGCCTCCTTTGATCTCTCAATTCCGCGAGCCCGTGTCCTCTCTTCGAATTCGAGATTTATCCCCACGGTTTCCGGCCAAAGTTCCTCCGCTCTCCGTTGTCTCGCGTTTTAGTTTCTATATTTTCTTCTTTTCCCTCGCGCAACTTACCCGCTGACTTTTCATTGGACTTTCAATCGTCTTCTGTTCCAGTTTTTCTCTTCGTACAACTTCGCGTTTCGTTTTTACATTTCAACGTCGAAAGTCAAATTCCCATTTATTCATCCAGCATCCACGCAGTCGATAACAAATGGCTCCCTTCTATATCATTATATGGGAATAACAAGAACAAAGAAAAGACAGTCTCTCTGCTCTTATTGTTTCCCTTCATCAAGCTTCTTTCGTTTTCTTCCGGTCCATTGCTCCTTCGCTAGCAGCGCGGGTCCTTCCATCTTCTTTAAATCTGTCGTCGCGGCTTCTTCCCCCATTTCTTCCAATTTCATATATATTTCCCATTCAGTCTCGCGGCTGCAAACGGCAGAATTTCACGTTGCCATTCTTAATCCGGCCATTCGTCTCCGAACGCATCTTCACGCGCGGATCTTTCGCTTCGACGATCGCCTAGAAGCCTAATCGTTCCAAGACTTGCCACTTTATAGCTCTTGGCTCCGACCCATATCCCAGAACCTTTTAATCTTCCTTGTCGTCGTCGCGCGAGAGAAAGGGTTTCGAGTATCGTCACGGTCCGCTTTGATCGACCTAATTTTATTCCTCTTCTCGACGCTGTCGCGCGTGCTCCGATTTCTGCTTACAATTAATATCCAGAACGAGTGTTTAATCGGATCTCTCGAGTCGTACATCTTGCTCGATATCAAAGAATGGAAGAGCAAATATAATCTCAGGATTCCGATACTCTCCTTTCGATCCTTTGAACGTTCCACGTGGCTTTCAAATATTTAAACAGCTGCTTTTTAAGCATCCCGAGAAATCGAGTTTGAAGCTTCGCTAGATCGATCGAGCCGGATCGATAATTGATACAATTTGCTCGCACCCACGCCGTGATTGAAATTTGATGAAATTCTTTCGAATGCTGTAGCCGTGGTTCAGTTTCCAATAATGCTCGTCGAAAAATTTGATCTTTCCGCGAGCCACCGCTAAGCGGATACGAAGCCAAGGATTTTTATTATTAGAGTTTCGTGGACGGGGGGCCCGGTGGTTGGTCAATACCACTGGATAAAATTGATGTGTGGCCAACACAGATACCCACTAAGACGAAACAGGACCTCGTAATTTTCTTACACGATCTACTTTGGCCGCCAAAAATATAGACGCAGGTCCTTTTAAGCTACGCTCAAAATTATTCCTCGAATTAATATCTATTGATTTTAATATATCGGTAACAAGCCAGTAATCGTGAAAGTTTGCACAAAGAACTTACTACGAGTACTGGGTTAAATAAAATAGCTTGTAGGGGCTGTAATTGGGTGTTTTATCGTACGTTGTGGAAATATTGAGATAACAAGAAACAAGTAAGCAACGAGGCGTGCAGTGTCACGGCAATTGGTCGCAAACGAATGGTCCGCTAATCAATGGACAACGGGGCGCGTTCGGTGAACAATGTATTCGCAGCTTGTCGTCCCTCGCCAGTTCATTGTTGTTTCGATTCAGGCCGGTTGGATACATTTCCTGCGCGCGGTCGAGTGTTCCGCAGCCTCCGCGACGAGAGTGCACGGAGCAGAACTTCCTATTGACCACTTCCTCTCCGACTGGAGTCAGGAATTGAAATTCCTGGCCCCCCGGAACGGAAGTGACCGATCGTCCGGCTGCTTTTTCGGATCCGCGATCGTACGCGACTCGTTTCTCACGCCTCGACGCCACCGATCCTTCTTTCCCTTCATTTTTTCCCCGAAACTTTCCTTCGAACCACTTTGCCAGGACTACTTTCCAAGCGTGCACCAACTTTGCGTCTTCCGTCGAACGCGAATTTTATCATAAGCGATGTTTCTTTCTGGAAACACAACGATACACGAATCGATTTTATCGAGGACGGGGATCCTCTTCGAAGCCTTAAATTTAAGTCTATCGCGGCCATCGAGACAAAAGCTTTTACTTTGGAAGATCCTTTGGTGGTCCCTGGGGCTCTATTTATTTTATGTTCATAACTTTTTACGTTTCTTTATCGTGTTTCGTTTCATTTCACGCAATGGAATATTGTCAGTCATCGTTGACCACTATGGTAGCGAACAGCTCGTGAAATTGTCAACTGTACGAGCATAAATGGAAGAAAAATCTCCGTGAATTAAGCTCGCCGCGATTTAATCAAGCGAGACACGAATTATCGAGACCCCCGGCGAACTTTAATTAGACCCCGGTGATCCTCGACGCTCCCCTCGTCGTTTGATTTGCCCCGGCGGCAGCCGAGAAAGAGAAATTAGTGGATTAAGTCGCGACACCGGGACCTGGTTTCTTTCGCCTCCCGAAGGATTTCTCTTGGCGAGAGAATAGTCCTTGCGAGCTTCAGGGGTCCTCGACGCCTCCTGAAATAAACTAGCCACCGGGCAATCGCGATCGAATCCTCGATCCTTTCCTCTCTTCTTTGATTATCGGGGTTCCCTCGAATCCGAGGCACGTACCGCTAGTAAGTTATTTCGTTTAAGAAGAGTAGACGTGACGCGCGTTAGCCGCGTGATCCTTTGGGTCTCGTTGATGATAGTCGAACGAATAAAGCTGATGCGACACTCGGGGCTCATTTTCAACCGAATGATTTTCTGCCAACGAACTGACAAACCCTTCTGGCCATTCGTCAAGCTCAATTTTCAAGATAAAATTTACTCCAGTCGTTTCGTCAGACTGCAGAAATGTTGCTAAATTCCTTGGACGTATGAAATTTCCATATTTCCGGATAATAATAAATCCTGTTCGATTTCAGTCGAGAATGTAAAAGAGGATTTTATCGTAACTTGCATCGTTAATCAGCAAGCAGGATGGGTCAGTCTACTCGATCGTTCGTGAAATTAATATCAAATGCCCGATTTTTCCAACTGAATTCGTTTACAGATTGGTTACTGTAAAAATATATTAACGTTCTTAGTTTTAGACTCCAAAATGAGATTAAACGGATCCTTTGCTTTTACAACTAATTACCGCTAACCAAGTCTTATAATTCTTTCGTTGTAAAGAAGAATGGAAGACTGTAATAACAAACGAAAGTATAAAGAGCCTGCATAAATTTTTGAATGCATCTTGCCGACAGCGGTGGTTAAGTACCGTTACGAATTAAAATAAATGAATATTTTACGCGCCAGTACTAAAATCGACCGATAATCTGGATAGCGTAACAGCACGCTTACAACGTGCGGCGGCCAGTCCGCAAAGAGCGTACTTAAGCTTATGGTCGTCTAGGGTTTAACAACTTGGATAAAGTATCTCGTTAGTGTGTGCGAAATTCTCCGTCGCGACGTGCCGGTTTACGTTAGCGTGTTTTTCCTGTAACGCGAACAAACACAACGATAGGCAAACCCCTAACAATTTACATGTATTTTTCAAGATAACAAACGCACGGAAATTTACAGAAACGTGTTTGCTTTTTCTCGATAAAAATTCCGTGTAACAAATCGTCCTTCCGTGAATAATCCAATTACTTTCTAACGTTTGCCTTCGTTAGCAGTTCCGATTCTTAATTACGTATTCTCCAGTTTATTTCCAGTTGCAGGGGTTAATTACAATCATTTTTGGTCAATAGACATACCCCCGAATTCCTACCCAGTTTCGAGAAAAAAATTAATTACTGAAAATGTCTGACCATACGTTGAGTTCTACCCCTGAAATTTTTCGGCGAAAAAGAATCTATTCAAATCGTTCTGAAAAAATTATTTCCATTTGCAGGGATTAATTACAATCATTTTTTATCAATAGACATACCCCCGAATTCCTACCCAGTTTCGAGAAAAAAATTCGAATAGGTTTGTAATTTTTCGGCGATATTAAAAAATTTCAAATCGAAACAAAAATATTATTTCCAGTTGCAGTGATTAATTACAATCATTTTCTATCAATAGACATACCCCCGAATTCCTACCCAGTTTCGAGAAAAAAATTCGAATAGGTTAGAAATTTTTCGACGAAAATAAAAAATTTCAAATCGTTCTAAAAAAATTATTTTTAGCTAAATGAGCTAATTACTTTCTAACGTTTGCCTTCGTTAGCAGTCCCGATTCTTAATTACGTATTCTCGGCTGAAAAATATCCACGTCGTCGATCAGGCGGACGGGGTTCGATCTAAGGACGTCGTGCAGGATAATTATCAATTTTACGTTCGTCGATAATTAGTCATCTTATGCGGGATGCATCCGACTCCGCCTGAAATTGGTCCAATTCTCTAATTGCGCGAATTACCTAAGGAGCTTTGAGCAATTAGCGTGGTCGGACGTTTGACGTTCTGCAAATTATAGACGAGTCTGATCTGTGCTCTATTGTCTCGTTTGCCCCGTTGCTCGTGGCTAATAAAACTTAAACCAGCACAGAGGAGTCATTAAGACGATGCGCGACTCGTTGAACTTCCCTTGGGCTTCCCAAATTCTACCCGCGATTAAGATCCTTTGGCGCGGAGAAGATTTCAGACGAGGACTAATATTTGCTCGTACGCTGGCAAGAAGGTCTCGCGTGGCTTCCCTCTCCCGGAAGTTAATTTGTTCGGGTGTTTCGATTCGACGCGATAAAAATTCTCGTGCCCCGGGGTCAGGAAGCATTAGAAGTGTCCTGGCGAGTCACGAACAGTCAAAGATTCCGCGGAACCTCCCGGATAAGGCTGGCAAATGGCGGAAAAAAGTGGCCCACCGATAACTGGCACGACGTTACCTTTCATCCTCGTTGCTCGCTATCTCTCTCTTTACCGGGCACTTCCGGTACCCGTAAGTTCCATTTTTATGAAACGCCGGGCAAGTACGGTCCGTCGACGGACGAGCATAAAGATTGCATTCGAGTCGAGCCCATTATCGCGCCATGCTCGAGAAATCCGGCAAAGAGGACTCCTCCGATTTTTTCGAAACAGTCGATAATTTACCACCGAGATCGATTCTCGCGACTGACCTTCTTTCCGGGAATGATTGTAATGTTTATTCAGAGATCGTCCGCGATTTCTATGGAGGGATAGAAAAGAAGTCGATGCCTCTGGAGACATTTTGAAGAGGCTACGTGCTCTCGTCGGTCGAGCAATCGATACCCGTAGCTAGCTGCAATGCTGACGGAACGCTCGAATGAATTTCGGCTAGGACACGACGTATACCCGGAAACATGGCTGACAAGGACTGCAAGCGTCAACCAGAATTTAGGCCAGATACGTATTTCAAATTCGTCACGCGCGATCGATCGATTATCTTGCCGGATAGAGCCCCCCCGGGGTGACTTGTTCAGAGATCGTAAATAAATAGAAAGTAAATACCAACCGGCGAGAATATTCTTCGAGCTTGATGCACGCAGAGGTAATCGAATTTACGGATCGATGGAACCGAAGAAAGAGGTCAAAGTAATTCGATGGCGGATTGCCTTTCTAACGACCAGATTAATCTCGCGTTATCCCTCGGTTACTCTCGGCATAGCTCGGCTTGGAAGAGATTTGTAATTCCAACGAGGACGGCGGTTATTAAGGCTTAAGTTAAAGACGATCGGGGGACGTATAACTTGCCAGGAACGGTGGAATTCCGGAAAGGATACCGAAAGCAAAAAACCTCTGTTATGTCTACGTGCGCACAATCGAACCGAGGACAGCAGGCTTCTTTTCTGTATCAAGAACGGAAGGATTTCTGACGAGAAAGAGCTTCATCGCGGGAGCTTTCGGCTCCCTTTTATCCTGAAAACGTGAGTCGCATTGTCGCTTACTTTCTAGGGACGTTCGATCGCTTCTCTCATTATTATCCCGTTTCTGCTTTTGTAGGTACTCTGTGCAACGTTTCCTGTAATCGTCACGTAAGTAATACGCAGATTGCTTCCAACGAGCAAACCCTTTCTGTTTCAGAGTCGATGACTTCTGATAGGTAGTTTCAGTGTTCGCGTGGACACGATAAATCAGGCTTTCGGTGGTCGAAGGTACAGGGTTGCATAAAAAGACCGATCGTATTTCCATCCGCTTGTTTCCATAGAAGGAAGGATCGCGAGCATCTGCATGCCCGGAGATGTCCCCCCTTAATTGTAAGAGAAAAACTCGACGCAACGATAAATCGCGACCCTCCCGCGGAACGTACTCCATTTTTTACGGGTGCTCCGGTTTTTATCATCCTCCGAAGCACTTTAATATACGATCGCGCGATTTAAATTAATGAATTTTCCAACGCGACCGCCGCCACGACAAAGGCATTAATTTCCGTTCCGTAGGTATTCGTTCGTTCGATCGTTATTAATACGCGTTCGCGTAAAAATTCTCGCTCGAGGGGTAATTCGAGCCGGTCGCGTGTCGCATTTACGAATATCCTGGATCAATATTTTTTTTTTAAATACTCTAAACGCAATTCTCTGGCGAACGAAACTCACCGTTCAGTACGTGTACCGCGATGGTGGTGTTGGCTTTTTCGGGAACCACGCAGCTATAGTTGCCAGCGTGTCTGGGGCTGGCTCTCTCGACGATCAGGGTGCTGACGATCACCAGGACCTCCTTGCTGCCCGTGATCTCCGTCGTTCTGTTCTCGCTGGAATAGAGATACCCAAACGTGACCCACATCCGATTCGCGTATCTCGGATCCTACGTTCTCGAGAAAAGGAGTCGAGGGGTGGTCCAAGAGTCTTGATCTTAGGTGTTTTCGCGCTCCGGTTGCAACCCGCGCGGCTGATAATTTCATTAACGCGGGATTGTCCTTTGGGAAATTGCTTTCGGTCGACGAACCTTATCGCGCGTCGCTTTCGAATCTCCTTTCGTTTAAATAAAACATTTACTTCTCCTTTCACGGTACTACGAACCGGGACGAGCTATTCTCTAATCAAAGATACAAACGGGAACTATCTTTCAAGGCTCTGTATTTTTAATCCCGGACAATGGAATCGGAAGGACGAGGGTAAAATGTACCTGACGTCTTCGGTGAGCGTTTCATCCCCTCTGGTCCACATGACAGACTCCTTGAGGTCCTCGAGGACGTCTCTGGCCTCGCACCTAAGCTTCAGAGCGCTTCCAGCCTTTAGGTGTCTCTCTTTAGGCACTACTCGCCCGGAATCGTCCGTTATCGTCAATTCCGGCGCTGAAAATAAAAAACAACTCTTCTAAAACATACTTACCCCTTATATATTATCGATCATACGTCGAGTATAGTTCTAAAAAGCTCACTTTCGAAAACGTACGATCGCTCCTTATTGCGATGTCGAAGGCACGGGAATCGCGGCGGTAAATTCAACCGGAAGCCAACAAATTATCAGGACTCGGTTGCCTTTCGGGGCAGCCAACACCGTGGGTGACAAATGGGACACGGACAGGAACGTATCGGTACGTGACCGGCCATTGAAATTAGGCTCGAAAGAAAGTAGAGGCTGCAGGAGGTTTCGCGAAAGAAAATCGACGTCGAAGAGCGTCCGTGACTGGGAACGCTAATGCCTCGAAACATCAACCCTTCGATGCGTGGGCGATCTTTGCGTTATCCTTCGATCGAACACACTTTTATCTGGTTACCCGAATATTTCGTTTCATTTTTTTGGTGGAATCTTACATCTAGATAGTGAATTTTCCCTATAATCGTGTTAAAACTTAAAGAGTTTCAGGGTAAAGAAAGCTACGTGACTGAAAAGATTTAATAAACGGTTATTTATACATTTTCTAGTCACGTATCGATGATTTTTTGGACGTCCAGAGCTAGTTTAATAGATGCTCTTTCCATCTTATGAAATTCTACCCAACCGGGGTGTAAACTACATTAATAATGGAGTTTACGCGTCGGTGATACGGCATCGAAGATCGATGGCGCGTGGCTCGCGACCCTTTTACTTAAACACAAATCAATCCCAGGGGATTTTGCGGTAGACGAAACAGATCTTGATTAATGTCCTTAATGCAGGCGACGATGATACGACGAGGGGACTTTAGGATTAATTCGCTAAGGACCACCTACTAGTCTTCTTCCCATCGGATCGAGATCGGGATTAAAAAGTCTGGAGCGAATATATTCTCCCAAAGGATTGCTGCACGTTCGAAACGCGGAGAATAAATCTTTCTTGAGTTTTCAATTTATACGAGAGGTTGTTAAGAAACAACAGATTTTCTCGAACGTTGTTTTCAACCAGTCGAAACCTGCAAAAATCTGTAAACTCGATCCGGACAAAAAGCTTGTAACATGAAAAAGCAATCCTGGACGATATCGTAAGGTGCACGGATGGATCGCCTAAACGGACAGGTCGCGCGATTAATCATGTCGAGCTCGAGCCAGCACGTGAGAGCTCATTTACCGATTGATCGTGCTGGATAAATAATTGCACACCGAATTCCTGTCAAAGTTTTTATAACCTGAACAATAATTATAATAGAATTCTGTTGGACGTTTACAACGCTTTTGAATAATGCTACCAGAGGGGATGGAATAGGAAAAATTGGCGACTGTATTTCGAAAGATAACCGCGGGCGGATAAATTCGCAGCGCCCGGGCAGTATATTTGTTGGTATTTTTATTCCCATTTAGCGAAGGACGTGATACGATTAAACTATTAACTGAATTTCAGTAGCGAACTTTATTCCGGTATACACAGCTGCTTGCGCGGATGGAACCGTCCGCGTGTCACGATGTTTAACTTTTTAACGTCGTTTTTATACGAAGCTACATTTTTCGAAAACTCCCGATATAAATGCAAAAGCAATTTTCGTTAAATGTGAATCACTCCTGTATTAACTCTTTCGAGAAAAAAAAATGTTTGATACTCGCGAACGCGATAGATTTGGATTTATTTCCCCCGCCATCTGCAATTACTAATTCCTTCCTCGTTATTGGCGATAAGATGAAATCCTTTGCAGACGTCGATTCGTGAAATAACAGTAGTCGAAGTAACCGGTTCCTGGGAGCATGGTTCGACGAACAAACGCGAGCAGGAATCGAATGGAAAATATAATCCGCGGAGGCGATAGTCGAGCCCGGGCGGGAGTTCGAAATTTCTTTCGATGGATCATTTTTTAAGCTCCTTTGGGAGGAACGGTCCGCGGACCAGAACGGGGACGACGCGGAAAGGATGCACATCCAGCCGGATGGTTTCCCAGGGGGACATCAGAAGTCGCGTAGAAGAAGAGGGATGGGAGAGAGGCAAGTACTCTATATTATTTAAATTGGATTCCGCGATTCCGTATGGCGCGGATTCCACGCCGCCCCGATCTTCGACTTTCTCGATCAGTTTTGCGAATTGATTTCTCGTCGACGCTGAAATATTAAGCTCCTTACGCTCCGTACATTTCGAGGAATGCTCCTCCACGCATGCAACGTTATTCCTTTTGGGAGTTATGGACGGATATTTCCATCGACCGAGTCATTGTTCGTCCGTTGGTCGCGGGACAAAGAGATCAGGCTCCTTTAATTACAACCTCCTTCGCGTCGATTGCTCCAGCGATCCTGGAGAAACATCGTCGTCTCTCGATCAGACTTTACGATCGACTCCTCTCCGTCCATCTTGGAACGATATTCTTTGTTCGTAATTAAAGTCAAATAGGCGAGACAAGTATCGTTGTTCCGGTCTGTAATTAGGCCTTCCCTTTGAACCCATTGCATCATTCTTTACGATTCCTTCGGTTAATTGCGGCAAAGTTCCAACTCCTTTGTTTGCAGTACACTTTGACAAGAACGAAAAAGGAGGCACCGAGCTTAGGAATCTGTAGAATTTAGTCTAAAATCCATCGTGCAAGGACATTGAGAAGGTTTCTAAGTAGAATAAGGTGGTATTGTGTTAGGTGGTAATTGAATCCGTCGCTCGCGAGACAGTGTGACTGCCAGAATGGTCTAGATTCTATTCAGGCAATTCGGTTACTCAAGGAGGACTGTATTCCGTTGAATATATATCAGTATTAGGAGAATGGAGCATTAATTATAATTAATTAGACGCGTCTGTTCGCAGAAGCATTCTATCGCTCGGTTGCGAGACGCTCGAGTAGAAAGGGTCGACGCCTGGTCGGACAAACGATCCCTTGAATATTCGTGGAATTAATAATTATAGGAATACTCTTTGATTCTTTCGTCAGCCTCTCTGCCTCGTACACTCGAACGAACAGTCCGCGTAAACGAGTTTAAGACCATTGAAGGTTAAAATAATTAAAGGTAGAATCCCAGGAAAACGTCGAGTATTAAAACTGGCACGCCTGTCGTCGAGTTTCCGTCTCCGTTTCCATATGTCTTTTATGCTTCGTGTTTTTGTACAATGATGCGCTCCCGACACAAGCGAAAAGAAGTCGAGGAATCAATGGAGGAGCAACGAAACGTCAACTGTCGCGGAAAGAAGTTGCCGGTGGATGGCCATTCATGAATATTGAATGTAAATTTTAAATAAATTTAATTCGCTATTCATGAAGCTTGAATATTCATGCGGACGTTATTGACAAACCTTGTTTTATTGACGCAGTTTGTGTCATTCCCACTGTTTCCGTTCAACCGACCGCGGAATTCATATCACCTGCGTCTTCTTCTTCTTCGATGCAACGTTTCGATCTCTCAATGGCGGGTTAAATAAACACTCCAGCTTCGTTATTTCCTTTTATTTAAAGTTGCTAAAATTGACAGAATATTTTCTTGGACGATCTAATAAAGCGTCGAACACTTTGACGAACGCTGATCAATCTTATCGATGGCCATCGTCCGAACCGTGACAAATATGCAATTTCGCGGTTCGCTTTTGCTTCCCGATCGGGTCCGGTTCTTTCTCGTTCCATCGATCTCGTAAAATTACTCGGATCCGCGAATTTCCTGGCCCGGTGGGGGGCCCGTGGAGCGGAAGGACCGCCGCCAGGAGCGGGTCAAAGAAATTCCAAGCAGCTCGACCGATCGACGGGGACGGAGACGGGAAAGGAGTCGTGTAACAATGTCGGTCTATCCGGGTTTGTTCTGCCCTACTTGGTCCTTACGGCAAGCTTTTGTTCGCGGAGCGGCCCTCTTCGGATCAGATCAGATTACTGGCCACGAGGCGCTTTAGTCGAGGAAATGCGGGTTTCCATTGCACCGAATTGGCGACGTAAGGGGATCCGGCGGACCTATCCAACGATACCTAACCCTTTCCATCGGTGGTGGCTAGCTCTCTCTCGCCTCCTGTTACCTCGATCTCGAATGTCGCCCTTGTAGTACCTTCCTCGACCACCCTTCGTCTCGCCTCTCGGTCAAGCTGTCTGGCCCTTAACGTCGATGGGAAACGACTCCGGGCGGAACGAGATCAGGACCGAGTTTTATTTCCAGTTTTGTTTACGTTCCCAACGATTCTGCGGACTCTACCGGTCCCGAGAGTGGATTAGTCGCGACGTACAATCGTTCTCGGCTTGCCCTAATCGCGTTACGGATTTTAGAACCGAGGATTCTCGAGGATTGCGGGAGGACGTTCGGTGGAATAACGATGATTAAATGATTTGTTGGCTTTCCTGCACCGAGTTTTACAAATTTAAAGCCAGAGCCAAGCGGAATTTTCGCTCACCCGTGACGATGACGTTGATGTTTTTAACCAACGGCGGATGAGTCGAGATTTGGCACTTGTAGAGTCCCGAGTCCCTCGGGGTCGCGTATTGTATCTGTAGCCTCCAATTGCTCGGGTACCTGGGGGATCAAACGTTAATTCACAAGTTAGAAATCATCTCTATAGGAAATTCATAGCTTTTTTTGAGCTAAAATTAATAAAATAAAATGAGGTTTACTTGAAATTGAGGCTGATCCGTCGATCCACGCTGTGGGTGGCCCTGCCGATCGTGAGGAGTCGAAAAGAGTCGTTGCTGTGTTGTTGCAGCCACGCCACCTGAACACAGAAAATATCCTTCGTTATTACCTCGTAAATCAGGGATTCGTTCGGGGGAGAGGAGGTCGCCTCGTCGAGCAAAGAGGCGTCGTATTGTTTCCGCGGTCCAACGACCAGGGAAATTAAACGGGATCTCTACGGAAAATTAATAATTTCGCGGGAAAAGAGTCGAGAAGCCGTTGGCTGAATCGTTGGCGAACGAATGCGCCCGGCAATTTCTTCGTAAGCGTTCTGGAAGAGACCGGCTTACGTTTCTCGTTTCTTCGCCTCCTTCGACCTTTTTCATCGCCGTGAACTCGATTCGATTCGTGACGAAACGTTGTCGAATTTTTAAACGCGAGGCACAACTAAAGCGAACCGATATTCGACGATAAAATAATCAATTTCGATGTTATAAACGATTTCGTTGCGCGCCGGGGAATCAAATAACGGCACGCGTTGACATTATGCCAGCACGGCCGCCAAATATGCGCGATAATAGCACGGACGCTATCGTTTCCGTCGTTATGAAAACGCCTCGCTTTGAACGGGGCCAAAATTATACGGCATTAAAGTTGTAACGTTTAATGCAAATGCCCCCGTAGAATTCGCGGCCGGATTTGTTAATTAATCGAGTGCGAATGGGCCGCAACGCCGATTTAAAATACAATACGTTACACGATTATCTCGTGTACGGAACATACGATCGTTTCCCAGGTATTCGCAGAATTCCTGGATAAACTACATCGCGGCATTATATTTTAATCCTCCCGTGCCAACGTTCCTGTAAGCGCTAATGATCCAGAAAAAAACAAAATGTTCTTTATTTTATACAGGGTGTTCGGCCATCCCTGGGAAAAATTTTAATGGAAGATTCTAGAGGTCAAAATAAGACCAAAATCAAGAATATCAATTTATTGATTGAGGCCTCGTTAAAAAGTTATTCAAAAATTAAAATAAAAAATTTCAAATCGGTCTAAAAAAATTATTTTTAGTTGCAGGGGTTAATTACAGTCATTTTTGGTCAATAGACATACCATCGAAATCCTACGCACTTTCGAGAAAAAAATTAATTACTGAAAATGTCTGACCATACGTTGAGTTCTTCCCCTGAAATTTTTCGGCGAAAAAAAATCTGTTCAAAGCGTTCTGAAAAAATTATTTCCAGTTGCAGGGGTTAATTACAATCATTTTTTATCAATAGACATACCCTCGAATTCCTACCCAGTTTCGAGAAAAAAATTCGGGAAGTTGTGAAATTTTTCGACAAAATTGAAAAATTGCAAATCGTTTTGAAAAAATTATTTTTGGTTACTGGGGTCAATTACAGTCACTTCTGGTGAATAGATATAACCCCGAATTCCTACCCAGTTTCGAGAAAAAAATTCGAATAGATGCCTAAATTTTTCGCCTGAATAAAAATTTTCAAATCGTTTTGAAAAAATTACTATCGGTTGCAGGGGTTAATTACAATCATTTTTGGTCAATACACATACCCTCGAAAACCTACCTGCTTTCGAGAAAAAAATTCTTTACCGAAAATATACTATGTGGCCGGAAATGTTTCTATAACTTTTTAACGAAGCCCCAATCAACAAATTAGTATCCTTGATTTTCGACTTATTTTGGCCTCTAGAATCTCCCATTAAAATGTTTTCCACGTGTGTATACATTTGAAGTGGCGTTTCGCGATTAGAAATTGGCTAGGGAAGTCGTCGATATTCTCGCGGCGTATCTTTTCGTCTCGCGACGGGGCTGTCGACGGAATCGGTTTCACATTACGTATTCCGGGGAATATGAATCCATCTGGAATCCCAAGCGGGCGCGTCCCCCGCGACAGAGCGACCGGAGAAACGCGGGATTCGACGGGAGCTGATTACGATGCGAAAAGTTTCTTCGGAAGGACCGTTCCGACGACGCTAACGAGAACGATGTTTGCAATTACAATCGGTTTTCCTCGCGATTCGCTGAATTTACCAGCTGCGCTCGCCCGTGCAAACGGGCAAACGCCTGGATTTCCCAAACTCCGCGCTTCGATGGTAATTGCGATCGTTTCTTCGAAGCATCGGCCCTTTCGAGATTGCTTTCCGACTTTGAGGCCAGCCACGATTCTTGGTTTCGTCCCTCGATCGCCGTTGTTTCGTGCAGGAAGATAATACTCGTACGTACAGTAGAGTCCAGAACAAATTTTACCGTCTCTCTGTCTCCCTGTGCAGTCACCATTTTTCCGAGAAACTAAGAATTACGGACAAGGCGTAATTGGATCGCTCGATGGGCTTGTATCAATCTCAATATATCTGATTTAACGCAGCGGAATATTTCAACCGAAGAGGGATCCGGGATATGGTAACGTACGATCCTATTCGTCATCGTTACGTCACACACTCCATTTATCCTGCTCGATGCATAAAAAGTCCTCCGCGGGGATGGAAATCACGAGAAAGGGAACCGTATTTGTCAATCCTCGCGTTGCGATACATTTTTCTTTCATCCTAATTCATCGTCTCGAGAGTTTGAAACAAAGCAAACGTCGCGAGCCCTTTTTGTGTCACGAAAACGTCGAAAAACGCGACAGGATGATCGAATATTCTCGACAAAGCAATGGTCCTCTAAATACCTGGAAAAACCAGTCTAAAAGCATTAAATTTAACAAGTTTTACTCACCTCCTTGTTTCCTAGCATGCCGATTCTGCAGTCGAGCAGCATAGTGTTCCCTATCCTGGAGGTGACGTTGATCTCCTGCTCGCCGTCCTCGAAGTACGGTCCGAATTTCCCGAAGGCGCTGTCCACGGTGGGCACGAGGAATTTTCTGACGGGCACGAGCGTTCTCTGGGTGGTGGTCGATAGCTGGGGATCGCGATCGTCCTCCGTCCCGGTCTTGATCAGCGGCTTGATCTCGTAGAAACCTTTGGTGGACTTGCCGCTCGACAGAAGATTGTTCAGCGGCCTGGAATGATCCTTGTTCGTTTCCTGGTTGACGAGGCGTTCCTCCGCCGGGGGTGGGACTTGGAACGAGATCGCCCTAACGTCCTCTATGTTCTTCTGGACGACGGGGCTCGTACCCGCGTCGATCGAGACCGCCGTCGAGGCAACGACCTCCGCGATCTTGTGTTTGTCCGGCTCCCCGGCGCTAATTTTTACGCTCGCGGGCTCGTCCGTGGCAGTATCGCCCTGAATATCGGTGCTGAACGTGGTTTCCGCTCTGGTCGAGGTAACGTAATCCCCCGTAGTGGGCTGCGGCTTGTTCTCGGGCTTGTCGCGCTCGGATATCCTCTGGACGTCGTTAAGCGCCACGGGAGTAGCCAACGACTCGCTTTGATCCTGCTGCGGCTCCGCCAGCGAGATGTTACCCGCGTTATCCCCCTGTCCAGGTATCGTACCCTCGCTAACGGCCTCCTCCTTGCTCCCTCGAACCGTCCAAGTCGTCTCCACGGTCACCTTCGTCAGCCTTTCGTCCTCCTCCACGCGTCGATCCTCCTCGTCGACCACAGGATGATTGATACTGTTCTCGATGGCGCCGTTCTCCGGCTCTGCGACACAGAAAAACACAACCGACGGTCAGAGAGTGGTTTTCAGGGGGAAAAAGTTTAATTTTCACGGATGCCTCCTCCAGTTTTTTAACGAACCCTTAACAGGATGGTTAGGCCATAAATACAGGAACAGATAGGATGGAAATATCTCTTTTTCGTAGCGATTCTGGTCGTGCATCTTTCAGTGCCCATCAGAAAAAGCGAATATCGTAACCCTCAGGCGGCCTCGGTACTCTATACTCTTCAGGACTTTGAAGAGAAATACCCGTCATTTGTAATTTTACGTCGAGCAATATACACGCGAGAAGTAGGTTGAAAATATCGACGTTTTTCTCTCTTTTTGTTAGCCTGTGCTTTAGAATGATTAGTTCCTTTTTCTCTATATTTTATTCGAATTTAAAGGGAATCGTAAAGGACGATACGTGGGACAATTTCAAGTTTATTCATTTATTTCTCATAGCTGTTACAAATGACAAATTGCTAACGTAGAATTTATTTTTTCCCCCCCCGAGTCTTTTACACTTGTTTGCAGCCAAATACTCGAAACGCGAGCTCGTTTGTCCGCAACACTTTTATTCAGCGACCACGCTTCGCGTCTTCTAGCCCCGCTACGGTCTTGTTGTTTTATTTGCCGGACTTAATGGAGGTTTTTTGCCCCCCGAGGTCCATCTTAGCGGGCTCGCCTCTTCGCTGCTGTCAGAGGGATCGATACACCACGATGTTGATTAATTTCAGCCACTATTTTCGGAACTGTTTTATATCCGAACGATTTTTGACAGATTTCTCGATGCATAATTAACTCCGATTTCTTTACAGTCTACTGTTATTTTTCGTATATTCTAAATTCAATTCCAGTCGTTCTATTCTTTGATTCCACAGATTATTTTCGTTGGCTCGATACATTTCAACCATTTTAATGACCTCGGGACGTAGGTTTCTCTATCGCGTGGGTCGTCGGAATATTTTAAGTAAATCGAGCACTGTAACGCTGTTTAAATCGTAGTCTAAAAATTATTTTCGGTCGCGGGGCTCAATTACAAGCATTTTTGGTGAATACACGTACCCCTGAATTCCTACCCACTTTCTAGAAAAAAATTCGAGAAGGTGTGAAATTTTTCAACGGGGAAAAAAAATTTCAAATCGTCCTGGAAAAATTATTTCCAGTTGCAGGGGTGAATTGCAATCATTTTTTATCAATAGACATACCTCCGAATTCCTATCCAGTTTCGAGAAAAAAATTCGAGAACGTTTGACATTTTTCGGCGAAAATAAACAATTTCGAATCATTCTAAAAAAATTATTTTTAGTTACTAGGGTCAATTACAGTCATTTTTGGTCAATACACATATCCCTGAAATCCTACTCAGTTTCGAGAAAAAAATTCGAGAAGGTTTGACATTTTTCGGCGAAAATAAAAAATTTCAAATCATTCTAAAAAAATTATTTTTAGTTACTAGGGTCAATTACAATCACTTTTGGTGAATAGACTTACCCCCGAAATCCTACTCAGTTTCGAGAAAAAAATTCGAGAAGGTTTGCAATTTTTCGGCGAAAATAAAAAATTTCGAATCATTCTAAAAAAATTATTTTTAGTTACTAGGGTCAATTACAGTCATTTTTGGTCAATACACATATCCCTGAAATCCTACTCAGTTTCGAGAAAAAAATTCGAGAAGATGTGAAATTTTTCGTAAAAATTGAAGAATTTCAAATCGTTTTAAAAAAATGATTTTTAGCTAAGGGGATCAATTACAATCACTTTAGGTGAATAAACTTACCCTCGAAATCCTACACAGTTTCGAGAAAAAAATTCGAACAAATGCCTAAATTTTTCGCCTGAAATAAAAAATTTTCGGAACTGTTTTATATCCGAACGATTTTCGACAGATTTCTCGATGCATAATTAACTTCGATTTCTTTACAGTCTATCGCTATTTTTCGTATGTTCTAAATTCAATTCCATACGTTCTATTCTTTGATTCCACTGATTATTTTCGTAGAACACGTTCCGCATTCTTCGCGTACGGTTCGCTAACGGTGACCACCGCTCGGACAAAATTCGCCCCATTACCCAGAGGAATTATAACGCGTATTAAAATTTCGTCGCATTCTTTCGCGGCCGTGCTGAAACGTTTCTCCGGCAACGAAATATATCTACTGTGCCTGGAAAAATTCCAGACGCTGCCCCGTACGCGGTAACAATGCTCCCGTCTAATTTCTTTGTTCCGAGGCCTTGCGTTTTTACCCCCCCAAAAAACTAGCGCCGTGGGAATTTCATTTTAAAGCCGGGAAACGCGTTCCCCACGGTTCCTCTGAAATGGAAATTTAAGAAAAATCGCAAGGAGCTGGTTTTCGGTCCCAGCCTCCGATTCCTTCGAAACTTTACATATTTTTATACATTATATACTCTTAACTTGGAATTCTATGTGATTAAAGTCACCTTTATCAGAGCAAGTTAGCCCTAATTGTTTAAATAGGCACAGAGGAGAGTTTCGAAGTAATCAGATACTTAAAATTATCTCGTTTTGAAAATGAACTGCTCACCGAATCCCAGCTGCATCGAAACACTTTGACAGTTGGATTTATGGTCCCGTATACTTGATTATCGTAATCCACGCGCGCTGCTTTTGCCCACAAGCACTTCACTTCATTAGCAAACTTCGAAATGGAACTGTTCTATAGATACCATGACTTTCGACAACCGCGGGAGTCTTGGAGCTCTCCGTAAATGATTTAGCACCGTGGAATATCGCAAACCAGTTCATTTTGTGGCCCTTCACTGAGAAAATTGATAACTAAATAAAAGTTCTCTATTAATTTTATACTTAAACTCTCAAACCCTTTGGATCTGCATGCATTTTCGAATAAACAACTCGTTTAATGTCCCAACGACGTCGTAAATACCACTTAAAATCGATTACGATCGCAGGGATTTCCTGGCCCGCGGAAGAAATATCGCAGATTCGGAATTTCGGCTCCCGAAAGGTGCTTCGAACTATATCGCTTTCGTTTCCCACTAGCAGAAGCACAAAAAGCCTGTCTATATTTCGAGAGAATAGGATTTCTCGTATGAAAGGGGATTGCGAAGTTTTTGCGAAAATCGAGAACATGAGCTCGATGTAGTTTCAAAAAAAAAAGAAAAAGAAAATACCTGTACGTGACGGGGATTGGTTCCATATCGAAGAGGGCTAAATAAGAAAAGTGCGGCACGTTTGGAAAATGAAAATAACTTTATTCTCGTCGACGCTCGAACGTGGCTTTTCGATTCGTTCTTTATCCTTGAAATTTTTAATCGATCTTGTTATTAAACGATCCATAAAAGTGAACGTTATTAGTAAATTGCGGTAGAAATAAAGTTAAGTAGAATTATAGATCATAGATCAAACGTGGTGCAAGTAGTAGCGATCGAGGTTTGGTCAGACAGAGAAATAAAATCTTTTTTACGGTAATACGATGCTTTTAACTGCATTCTGTGTTAAAGGAGGACCATAACATTGTTACAAGTACAGAATTTTCACGAATTAAGTACTAATATCCAATAATGGTCAGAAATGCTCGTAAAACGATCGATTATCAAATGATTTAAGTGTTTAAATTGTTCAGAGCTCTCGTTTGAGCTTCCAGTATTATGTCCAGAAAGAGTTTAAATCACAGCTCACGGAAAATTTCGCCAAATGAATTCTATCGTTTGAATTTCAAATCTATCAATGCCCCTGGTATAAAGATAAGATTATCTGCGTTCGAAATCAAAGATAGAGGTTCGAAATCTTGTTTCGGAGGTTGTTAACGCGACAACGATATCCGCTCGCATAAGTGGCGTCTTCTTCTGCCAAATCTCGCGCGGAATACCGAATGCTCGAGACTAGGAAGCAGTTTGCCAAAGATTCGCATCTGTTAGGATCGCCTGATCGATGATACGGTCCTTTAGTCCACGATAGATCTCTAAAAATACGCAATATTTCGTATCTCTTTTTGAAAACCATATTTATTCGCAAAGAGAACAATACTACTCGGTGCTCGTGTAATGTAAAAATAAAAATTGTCGTTAACAATAACTCTGTCCACTCAGTCGCTTCGTTAGTAAAGAGTTTACGCAACGATATTACCGATGAATATTTTTCAAAATACCCAGTGTTTTATTTCTCAACGTTATTGTTTAAATTTTCGTTCGATCGCCTGTCGCGTCCGTTCCTTCCGGCCGATTGAAATTGTAATGCGAATATTCAGAACACCGCCCCGCGGTTTTTACGAGCAGGATGCAACTTGGGCTCTGCTTTCCTGCCCTTTTATTCGTTATTGTGTTCCCATGCGCTCTTTGTGTGTTCGTTGGACGTTATTCGATCCTTAACTCGGGCACTTTTAAATCAATCCCCGAAACGTAACGATGACCCGATTGATTTAATGTGGCCCATGACCCGATTCGAACGAACCAGAAAACGCGAACGAAGCTAGGTCACCGGGCAGAGGCCACAACTTTAAACAACGAAACTATTTCCATTAAAAATATAAATATATTATTCCGTATCGACTGCATACTTCATCCCGGGGCTTTAAGATTAAGCTCTGAAGAGGATGGGGTGAAAAAAGCAACGTTAATTCGCCGTAATTACACGCCGAAGTACCGAGCAATCGGTCACGCAAGTTCGCTTAATTGCGAAATGCCGCTCGTCGATCATAATTTACCGATCTCGAGGCCCGGATTTATGGAACGTGCGAACCGGAAAATTTTACGGATTACTCCTGCAGCTCCTGTTTCGTGTTCTTCTCCTCCGTGGACAAACTTTCAAGCAGACCACGCGTCTGTATCATTTAGTAATCGTATCGGCGTGCAATCCGATATGTCGATACCAAGTCCGCGGCTTTCAATGCGTTTCGATTCTCTCGCGCGAGGGAATATCGTAAGTAGATTGAAAATGCGTTTGTATATTTTTTGGGGACAACTGGAGCATGGAATAAAACTCGTTCCGTCGTTGGGGTTTAAAAATATTTCTTTCCATTTCATATACGCTGGAATATATCTCGAGTAAAATTTAGAAAGATTTTTGGGCTATTTCCGTGAGAAGAAAAATAGTTTCTGGCTTTTAGAGTTGATTTAGTTTAGCTGGTGATGCCGCGGGGCTCCCTAAACACGGTGTGCTTAGGCGAGGGATTAGGCTACGCCCGAATCAGTTTGTTCGTGCACTATACACAGCCGTTGACTGTCAGTCGATAGCAGGATACAAGACCCTGAGCAGTTACGTTAGTCAGGACGAGGCCTTACGAGATCTAGCCACCCACGCAAAGACCTTTGGGCCCTGTTCCTCTGCTCTCAAAGCTCGACCTACTCTCCAACACTCCCAACAATAAAAAAACATTGAAATAGCGTGAAATATCTAGTCACTCGTGAACTCAACATTCGATTAACGAGCTTAAAAATTAATTCATCGATCTAGTATCTTAATTACCCCCTTAGCTGCGAAGTATCCTCTCAATTCACAGGTAAGGGTTCACTGAATCAAAAATAAACTGCAAAGATGGCCTCACTTTTTGAAGTCTCGTTCTACTGAAAGACCAGTGACCCTCGATGAAAGTTAATTAACTTAACGATGGTCCCTACAGTCGCTTATTAAGAATAATATATTGTAAATTAATTGTAAATTAATTTATTCTTGTTACGTTCACTAAGCGATAATGTTTGACTATGTAAAATCCACATCTGTAGTTCCTTAGATATTACATCGTTGTACTAAAGGGTTTAATTACCCGTTAATAAATGAATAATAATAATAGTAATAATAATAATATACATCGAAGCAAACTGATAGGCAATCGAATGGAATTTCACGGTCCGTTAATTAGTAATAGAGTAGAAGAGGCTTAGGATTCGTTCGAGTAACTAACTCCAAAGGGTGAATAAATAGCGCGGAGAGGATATGAAGAGCGAGTCGGAAAGGGTTGGGGTTCAGAATAACGGAGTAAACATTTTTCTAGCACGCTATTTGCACCGTCCCTTTCACAGAACGTTCAACAACGTCCCATTTCGGCCGCGCTCGCGATTGATCTTCAGCGCGTTGTTTGCGCGTAAACGAATTTCAGAGATTATTTCCGGCCTGGCGGATCGCGTCATAAAAAGCGACCAACTGCGATCTCTTCGGGTTACGTGTATTTTTTTTATTCGTCCAACCGAAACGAAATCGGGCCAGGGGCCAATATATGTAGGAAAATTAATAATTACAGCGTCCGAAACTTGATTCGAATGAGCTATTTTCAGTGGCACATGTTCGAAAGATCGATCTTAAGAAAGTTGGTACCAAATATGGGTCAATCGAATTTTCTTGGTCGAGCGGTTTATTTCGCCATAAAGATGCCGAGTCCATCGCGGATAAGATGATAATTCCGGATCTGTCGCACGCATGATGTAGCCCAATGTGTAGGAAATTAGGTGGGCGAATTTATGTCGGACCTTTTGTAACGAGATCCGATATTTGATTCAGAGCCCGTATATTTCATCCTGGCGAGCTCCAGCTGCGTATAAAGTATCGCGCAAACCGTCGAATAAAAATAAATAGCTTTTCATTACCGGGGTTAAAAAATTTGTTTTATTTCTGTATTTCAAATATTTTTATCGATTTCCCGAGGCGGCGAAAGAGGGTAAACCGAAGTGTCGGATATCAGGCGGAGATCGGTTTCCATATCGCGAGAGAAGCTTCGATGTTGGCCAGATGCTAAGCGATACCAGAGAATCACGTTACATAGCACTTCTTGGGTGGTCATGATTTGCCGGGAGTAATTTGTTGTTAGTAGTGTGAGAGAAACGTGTATTGTTCTGAAATCAATAAAAATAAGCTAGTGCTCACCTGACGCCGCGGCGGTGATCATGACGGAGACAATGGCGATGACGCCGAGCACCGATGCAGCCCGCATTCTCCGGCCGGTCATGTCGAGGATCCGCTCGCTCTCAGCCTTCAGGAATCTGGTCCATCGTCTCGTTCATCTTCCCTCTGCGCAGAAAGGCGAAATTGCTGCGTTAAAGCGTTACGATCGGAGGCGGCGCTAAGAAGCCCTCGTAAACCCTCCTCGCGAAACTTGATTTAACACCTCCCCCTCAAGCTTTTCGAGATCTAATTCCGTGTTTACGGGGGACTTTTCAAGTTGTCGAGATATACACTAGGACTTTGGAACTATATTTTCGGCTCGAGTAAAAGATCGAAGCGCCCATGCTGGACCCATGGAGGGTTTTTTTTCTTTCTCTCCCGGAGTTCGTCTCCTTATGCACGGAGGGGGGGATGTTAATTAAATTCCGCGGTCGTTCCGCCCCACGTTTAATTGAGAGAAACTTTTCCCCGGTTCCCGAGCTTTTAAGCTCCTCGAATCGGGATCGCGCGTACGGTATTTTCGATCGCATTCCAGCCTTTTTTAGGGATAGTTAAGCGAGTATGGGAATCTTTCGATCGTACGTGCATCGAGAATAAATCTAAATGTTACAGGTGTCTGGTCGCTGTGAAACGCGTCAACAGCTAGATAGCCACTCGTGTATGGGCATCTTGCGTTAAAAATTCTTTTTTATTCCGCTCCAGGACTGTTCTTTCCATCCTGGAATATCTATCGGCTACAAAATAAATAAACGTTGGCCTGCTTTTCGCGTCGTAATATAAATACCAGTTATTGGTTTTTCGTTTCACTTCGCCCACTAAAATCGCTCTCGAAAATATTTACTAGCTCCGGGTAAACACTCTGTTCCGTTATTTTCGACACTGTTCGTTCGGTTTCAGGGCCAAGTGGCTTTTAGAAATCGACCTACGGATCGTACAATTTAATTACATTACTATCATTGTACATTCGTATGCTTTGTACCTTTAAAATTGTTGAGGGTATTGTTCCAATTACATGGAAGCTGGTTCTTAGGTTAATGAAAGGCACAGTTCTCCGGAAAAACTTATATATATTTGATTATATCTATATTTGAGTGTACAAAGGAAAAATGAGCCCAGGACTTTACATGCGTCCTGTCCTAGCCGACTTATTGCTTCCAACTGCATTTTGTTACTGCAACAAAAATGAATAAAAAGGGATTCGGTATTCCCGTATCGTAGAACGTTTCCCAAGCTCGTTTCGCTCGTGACCAAATTACGACGCGATTTGGATTCCAGCTCGGGCCTGGAACAGACACGTCTGATAGGGGAGACCGCAAGGCCGCAGACGCTCGTGACAAATCTCGGCTGACTTGCAACTGTAATGTTTAATCAGACGTGTAATTATGTCTACGGAGCGTAATGGCGCGGCGGTGGCGGCGGCTGCCACTTGCCGACTGGAGACGGATGAAATTTGCCTTGCACGGGCAAGTCAAATATTCGCACGAATGCGATTACACGATTTAGCACGGTCCTGCACGCTGCTTTCCCCAGGATTCCGTATAATACTCACACTTCCGGCCCTCCCCCGCTCCTCTACGTCAAGTAATAAACGTTTATGAGCCCACCCACGACTGTTTCGCCGAGCAGACACTTTCCCTTGATTATTCGATTACGCGCTAGACCACTTTGAATCGATGGTCTCCTCTTTTTACGAACATTCCTTAGTCTCTGGGACTCGTATGACCTGCTCGAAATTAAATTGTAAGCAACCTTTAGGTTTGTAATGAATGAATTTATATTATGTGAGAGTTTCGATCGAAGGCATTGCCGACTATGTGTGTGTGTTTCGCGTGAAGTATGTATTAGAAGTTGTTCATTTTATTAGTTAATCGTTTAATCGAGCCAGCTTTCTGTACAAAACATTGAATTTAGATATTAAAGGGAAAATATCTTACAAAATATTAACCTACACTGTTTCATTCGAAAAGAATAGTTGAACAATCGCTTTGGAATGGCCCGTCGAAATTTCTCGGGGTCTTTGTCGCGTGATTTATTAGTGAAAAGAGAATCTTACCTACTGTTATTGGAAAAGTTGAACAAAGTTCGGAAGTTTATACATTTTGCCGCGAAAAGCCGAGGAAGTGCTCGAGATTTCGAGCTGTTTTAACAAGTTCGAGGGCGAGCCGGGGCGGTTTGTTTTTTCAGGAGTGTCAAAACCGAAGGCTGGCCTCTAATTTAAATCGAGACCGACCTTAGAAAGGTATCTCGTTAGTTTTGCCAAGTTTTTCGGCTGTGGATTTTCGCAGACTCCTGTCTCCAGTTTATACGCGCTCGAATTTCGGCCCGAAATATAAATAAAGGAAAATAAACGAAAGGCTCTCGATGGGTACGATCCTCTTTCGCGTCGAGGGTATCCTTGATCCTGTAAACATCCCGGAGCGAACGTCTCGAGTGTTTCCTTGGATAACAAACGAATTTTCATACGCATATATTCGCGAAAAAGTCTACCAGTCCAATTAAAAAATTTTACCGCGATAAATCTCTTGTAGGTTGTTCCCAGGGAAAGTTCATGTAAACACTTGGGTCGATACTTGGACGCAACGCAATCAAAGATTTCCCCGCGTTGCAATATCCAGCGGAAAGTTGTATGCCAGGTACTTTTCGCGACACTCGATGCTCACGAGCCCCATATATATTATAGCAAGCTTTCTCCGTTCGATCTCGCGGGACAAAACATCGAAACTCGATCGAACCAAGTTGAAACCTGGTTGGACACAATAGACGTTACTCGGCAAATGAGGATGATCGAACCTTTGACCCTCCGGGGAACTGTTTGAAGCGTGAATCTTGAAATACGTACGCGTGGCTCGATACATTTCAACCGTTTTAATGACCTCGGGACTTAGGTTTCCCTATCGCGTGGCTCGTCGGAATGTTTTAAGCAAATCGAGCACTGTAACGCTGTTTATTCGTAGTCTAAAAATTATTTTCAGTTGCGGGGGTCAATTTCAATCATTTTTGGTCAATACACATATCCCCGAATTCCTACGCACTTTCGAGAAAAAAATTAATTACTGAAAATGTCTGACCAAGCGTTGAGATGTTTCCCTGAAATTTTTCGGCGAAAAAAATCTGTTCAAATCATTCTTGAAAAATTATTTCCAGTTGCAGGGATGAATTGCAATCATTTTTTATCAATAGAGATACCTCCGAATTCCTAACCAGTTTCGAGGAAAAAATTCGAATAGGTTTGAAGTTTTCGGCGAAAATAAAAAATTTCAAATCATTCTAAAAAAATTATTTTTAGTTACTAGGGTCAATTACAGTCATTTTTGGTCAATAGACATACCCCCGAAATCCTACCCACTTTTGAGAAAAAAATTCGAGAAGTCGTGAAATTTTTCATCAAAATTAAAAAATTTCAAATCGTTTTAAAAAAATTATTTCTGGTCGCAGTGGTTAATTAGAATCATTTTTGTTGAATAGACATATCCCCGTAATCCTGCTCACTTTCGAGAAAAAAATTAATTACTAAAAATGTCTACCCATACGTCGAGTTGTTTCCCTTAAATTTTTCGGCGAAAAAAAATCTGTTCCAATTGTTCTGGAAAAATTATTTTTAGCTAAAGGAGTCAATTACAATTAGTTTTGATGAATAGACTTACCCTCGAAATCCTACACAGTTTCGAGAAAAAAATTCGAACAGATGCCTAAATTTTTCGCCTGAAAAAGAAATTTTCAAATCGTTCTGAAAAAATTATTATCGACTGCGGGGGTCAATCACAATTATTTTTGGTTAATAGACATACCCTCGAAATCCTGCGCGTTTTCGAGAAAAAAATTAATTACTGAAAATGTCTGACCATACGTTGATAAGTTTTCGGTACTCTTCGATCCTGAACGACGCGAATATCGATCGATAGGTTGAAATCAAGATCGTGAGAAATTTGTCGTAGGAACCGCAGGAAGTTCAGTTTCCGGTAAGACGGCCGATCTTGAATGTACATTGAGTTATAGCGAACGCGTGTCCCGGCAGAGATGTTAGTTAAGACGATTCGACAGGAACTTCTCTGATCGAGTTACGGAGGGGCCTGGGCTCGATATTCGAGTTAATCGTAATTCTCGGAGGAGCCGAGAGAGACCGAGCGACTGACTGATGGAAATTACGTAGAAGATAATCGAGCTTCAAAGGGTTGTAATACGTAATACCGGGCGCAATTTCGGTGCCGCGACGGGAACATGTGCCAAGAAGTTTCGCGAGTGCGTGCTTCTCTCGGTGAATTACGTACTTGTTCGACGGTAATATTTCCAGCGGGTAAATAGGGGAAGCGATAATCACGATTATCGTGCATGGGAAGTAATAATGTTGAAATTAGTAATCACTGATAATGTCGAAGCGCGACGAGAGCGAGACAGCGATTTAAAACGTTGGATCGTGGGTCAAATTGCGGTTTTAACTTGGCGCGTAAGTAACTTGGCTCAATTTTGTTAACGGTCGCGAAAATCCTTAGAGAAACTTCGGGCGAATGTATAACTTTCGGGAAGTTTAGAATGCGAAGAAAATCCTCCGGAAAACTTTGTAAGTAAACGCAATTTTCGTTGAGCTTAGAAAGTAAATTGAATTTTAAGATTGTTTACAAAGCAAATTACCGAGTAGCCGGAGAAACGAATGAACAATCGAACGAATCGTTTAATCGTGTACTTGTTTTCCCTGGTCCATCGCCGAAATAAGACACGCGAGATCGTGTGAAATTATTTTTACCGAGGTCGAGGAAGTTGAACATTCCGATTTCAGACATTTGTCTCGACATTTGAACGGTACTCGAGCTTCTAATTTTAATCTTAATTGTATCCCTGTTCGTTTCTTCGCGAAAAAAACACCTCGAAAAAGAACGGAAGCGGAAGGGGTAGGACTTCCCTTGGTATTCGCGGCGGTTTTCGGTATTCTCGACACACGTCCGATGGCCTGCCAAGTTGTCCCGCTCGGAGTGACGGATTTTATTAAATAATAAAGCCTGTCGAATCGTAGGCGCGTGTATTTTTGTTCGTTTCTCGTTTCGGAAGTGGACGAATCGAAAAAAGCGACGCGCCCGCGAAACAATATAACCG